GGAGTAAGACCCAGAAGAGTTGGCTGTTCAAAAGCTTGGCATTTGTCAACATTGTGATGCTAGTGCTAAAAAAAAGGTATGCTAAGCTAAGCTACTGGGTAGAATGAGTGTTCAAAATGACAGTGGTGCCCTGCAGAGTGGCTGGTGAGTCTGAACCACAGACCTTTTGATTAGCAGCTGAACACTTTAACCACTGCACCACCGCAGCTTCTTTTCAAAGGGTTAGGAGGGGAACACTCACTGAAAGGCCACCATGTACCACCTGGTGAGAGCACCTAGGACACAGGGTCTCAGGCTGGTGTGGAATTGAACCTCTTCAACCTGTAGGAGGGAGCTCTGGTGGTGTAGTGCCTAAGGCATCTGACTGCTAACCAGAAGGCTGCTGCTTCAAACCCATCAGCCACTCCTCAGAAGACTGGATAATCTGTTTCTGTAGAGATACTGCCTTGGAAACCCAAGGAGGGGTCGCTGTGAGTCCACTCCACTGGACAGTAGGAGAGGGGTTCGTTGGCTGGGTTTGGTGACTTCAAGTACTTAAGTGGTCACTTGTGAAAGTCTCATTTGCATAGGTCCAAGGGGATAACCGAGGAGTAGGGCTCAGTTTAAACCCAGTACGAGCAAGTTCTTTTCTTCAGGGGGTTTCCAAAAAATTCAGGAAAGTCCAAGTGTTACAATGTGTTCCTTCCCCACCCAGAACTGAACCTTATTTGCTCCAATTAGTCTGTTTCTAGACAAAAATTAATGGTTTTCAACAAGTTGAAACCCCTTTAGCGCATCATTTCCACTGCGCCCTCCAGGCAACCCGGCTCGGCTCAGAGCACCTGCCGCTATCGCCTATACGGGCACGTAGATCCGTGAGGAACAGCCGCAGTTCACCTTCGATGCGAGTGCACAGGTGACGGTGAAGGGGACCAGGCAGGAGGGCGGCGGTGAGAGGGAGCCGGGGCACGAAGACCGTGGTGAAAAGGGACCGGGGCTGCAGAGGCGGAAGCCAAGGAGGCTGCCGAGGGTCAGGACTAATGCTCAAAGGCCGGCGGGCGGAACCCCGGCTGCAACGCAGTAGGAAGCAACGCAAGCCGCGCCCCTGGCGACGGCCGGGCTCGGATTGGCTATGCCGGGCCTGATGACCGCCTCAGTTGGTTTCACTTCCGGTTTCGCCGGAAGTGGCGTTTACTCCTAGGTCCACCCCCGGCAAAGGCGGAAGTGGAGCTGCCACTTCGTCTCTCCGTTACCGCCCGCACCTTCGCCCCGCTGCTTGGCCCATGGCCGCCTACTCCTACCGCCCCGGCGCCGGACCGGCCCCTGGCCCGGGCCCGGCGTTGCCGGACCAGAGCTTCCTGTGGAACGTCTTCCAGAGGTGAGGGCCGTGGCCCCGGCCTCCTCGGCGCCCCCGGTCCCTCCCCGTGCGGGTCCCCAGCCTCCACCTGCGCCCCCGGCCCCTCCGGAGCGGAGTCCGCGGCGGACAACGCCCTCGTCCGGGGCAGTAGCCTCCCGGTCCGGCTTTGCCCGGCCCGAGGGCCTCCCGGGGACCGTGGTTTCGGGGAGCTGGGGTTGGCGGAGGCCCTGCGTCCCGAATCCCCTCGAGCGAGTGACTCTGGGCCGGGCGTGACGGGATTGCTCGGGGGAGCGTTTGCTGTGTGCGAAAGGCGGAGAAAGTGGCGGCCCGGCGGTTCCTGGCCGCGGCGGGGCGCGGGGGGCCCTGCCTGGGTTCCCGGGAGCGGAGTCGCGCTGCGGACGTGGCGTTCCTGCCCTAACCGCCCGCTGGCCGCCCTCTTGGTTTCCCAGGGTCGATAAAGACCGGAGCGGCGTCATCTCAGACAATGAGCTGCAGCAGGCGCTGTCCAACGGTGAGTGCGATCGCGGGGCCTCGGGACACAGGCCCGGCCTTGCCTTCTCCCCTGGGTCTCCCCAGCACAGAGGCGTTACTGAGACCGCGTTGGTGGCCTGGGGGTTAAGCGCTCGCCTGCCACCTAAAGGTGGGCATGCAGACCCACCAGCCGCTTAGCAGGAGAGATGTGGCGTCAGCTTCCGGGAAAATGGCAGCCTTGGAAGCCCCCGGGGCGGGTCCCCTCCGCCCTAGAGGGGCTCCCGGAGTCACGATGGACGCAAAGCAGTGGCGTTGGTGTTTCCGTTGGGCCGTGACTGGTGTGTGCTAGAGCTGTGTCCTGCCTCATTTCTCCGGCGGCTTCCCGGTTGCGGTCCCAGGGCCTTCCACAGTTCATGACCGAGCACAGGAAACCCCAGCGTGGAGGCTGGGGGACGGCTTGCAAGAGCGGGAGAGGAGGAGGTTCCCTTTGCAGAATCCTGTAGGGGTCTAGATGATGGTTTAATTTCTCGGGGGACTAAGCCTGAGTGACTCCTGTGGGTGGAACATCCAGGTCCACTGTTGGGGCCCCAAGGTTCAAAGGGAGCGCACACAGCAGTTGTGCCGGGAGGTGGTTGGTGTGGGAACTGCTGAGACTCTGGGGCAACAGCTGAGGGGGGTGGTGGCGCTGAGGAGTAGTGCGGGATTGGGACCGAGGCACAGGCTGCAGCGACTGTGGGCTCAGTGTGGGTGGTGCCACCCTGCCCAACACCCGGTGAGGGGGCTGCCCATCTCGAAGCCTCCGACGCAGCCGCCGTGCCTGGCTCTTCCTGCAGCTGGCCTTTCCCGAGGTGGGCTGAACAAGCAGAACAGCCTTGGGTTTCAGCAGCTCTGGGCCAGCTGACGGCCCCCTGCGGCAGCGCAGAGCCCTGGGAGTGTGGAAGGAGGCTGCGCTGGAGATGCTGGAAGCCGGCCCACAGCACGCCGGCCTAGCTCCGGGACCACCAGCCCTCACGGCCTGGGCCGACCAGGCACACGGCGTTGGGTTCCTGAAGCCTGCTGGTTTGTGTTAAGCTGAGAGTTTGTAGGAACGGGTCAGCGCATTTACTTTATATAGACTGTAGATACGTCCGACCATTCTGTACTGTTTAACACGTGACCACAAACGTGGGTGTGTGTTTCACGGCCCTTACCTAGACTGCTCTCAAGAACTCCCATTGCGTCTGCTGTTCCTCTTGACTCTTCTGTGGTGGTTATTTAACCCTTTTGACGTTGACTCACATCCCTAATCTTGAATTGTACTCAGGAAGTAAAAGGGAGGGTTACTACGCGATATTAGGAGAGCCCAGAATACAGGCTCCAGTGTGGCAAATCCTGACTTAGGACTTCCTGAATGTTGCTTCCATGTGCCAGACCTGGCCGGATGGCCTGCAGACTGATAATACGGGGTCCCCACAGCAGGGGCTACCCGTGGCGCTCCGCTTAGAGGCCGCGCTCCCGGAGGATTCGTTTTGAGCTGCTGTCAGCGAGGGATGGCAGATTCACAACCTTCCGTCGCCTTTTGTCCATTCACTTCAGTGTTTGAGAGGACTGTGACCTTTGTTACCTACAGGGAGTGGCTGCAGCCTCGATTTCTTGGTGACTGTCTTTCCACCCTCGAGGGCTCCAGGTCAGCGGCCTGGAATCCAGTCCTGGCTCTCCCAGTTCTAGTAACGTGACCCTCGCGAGGATTTGACCTTTCTCACACTGTGGGCTTAGCAGGTGTGGCACAGTGTGCGCTCACCAGTCTGCAGCTGTGGTCGCTACTGTGAATGCTGCTGCTTCCTCTGTGGTGGGCAAGGTGGCCAGCTCAGATCCTGGGTACTTCCTGTTACCTGATGGTGACGACGATGATGCCGCTTGTCTGTTACCGGACAAAGACAGTGATGTTGACGATGAGGATGATGCCGCTTGTCTGTTACCGGACAAAGACAATGACGTTGACGATGAGGATGCTGCTGCTTGTCTGTTAACCTGACGACAATGATGATGGTGATGATGCCCATTACCTGACAACAGTCATGAGGATGACGGTGGTGATGGGGCCCGTTTCTGAGCACATCCTATACGTGGCCTTGGGCTAGGCACATTCTTGCTATGAGAAGTAGTGATGTGCGTGGTCCCCGCTGCCTTGCAGGGGCACTTGTCCTCTTCAGATTCGCTGCTAGAAAGTCGAACGTCAAAATCTGTGGCACGCTGTAGCACGTGTTGAGAGTTTTACCCAAACTGAACCTGAAAACCCCACAGGCAGTTCTAACCGCTGCCGTTGTGTCAACGCCAACTCATGGCGACCTTTTAGGACAGAGTAGAACTGCCCCTCACGGTGCCCAAGGCTGTAAATCTTTGCAGAAGCTGACTGCCTCGACTTTCTCCCGTGGAACACCTGGTGGTTTGAACTACTGGCCATTTGGTCAGCGGCCGAGTGCTTCAACCACCATGATACCAAAGCTCCTTCAGAATTTTAAGGGGTAAGTTTCCTAAGCTCGTCTTAGACCCCTTACTGACCTTCTTCTCTTCCACCCCTCCTGCACCTGATGTAGTTAAGACAGGCTGTCTTTTGTCACATTTGGCTTACAGCTTCCTTTTCGTGTTAGGAGTAGGGACGCTCCCTAATAAGGTCCCGTCTCTCAGACGTAGCAGCGATGTGAGGATGGTGCAAGACCAGCAGTGGTTCGTTGTGTTGTCCGTGGGATCGCTGTGAGTCAGAACCAAACGTCTCAACGGCTCTTGACGACGACAAGTTTCTAGTCCTTGCAGCCTCTTAATAAGGAGGTCACTGGAGTGCTGGCGCTTGGGGCTGAGGCCCCATTGTCGCTGTCGCCTTGCGCCACCAGGGTGGGCCTCCAGCTGCATTTTCTGGGGGTCTGCGTGTTCCCACTCACCTCAAGGGGGCGCAGGCCGCTCCGGCCTCTGGCCCACGGCGTCTCGTTGCTGTTGCCACGTGGCACTGGGCTGTGTGGGTGGCGTGGTGGCCACTGCTCACTGCCGTTGTGGGCACATCTGTGTGCAGTGTTGGGTGGGCTCGCACAAGCCCTCCTCACGTCCTCCTTGGCTTCCTGTGGCCATGATGGGAGTTAGTTTAATCTCCGCTTGTTCTCCCAGCCTTAGGCTTCTGTTAGAACTAGTCTAGTTGGCCATCTCAGGAAGTCAGCTAACTCAGTCGTCACCGGTGGGAGACTTGGCTTACAGAACAGCAGGGCCGCGCGTAGCAGGGCCGCTCAACCAGTGAGCTTGCGCCTGCTAGGACCCAGTGGCAGCCATCCTTGTCTCACACATTGGGTCCTCCAGGAGGGTGTTGCTATAGGAAGGCTTCCAAACTGGCCGGGCGGGTGGTGTGAAGGACTGAGGGAGACTGTGCCCCCGTCTTCGGTTCAGAACAGTGTGTCACAAACTGGCTGCAGTTTGCTACCTTTTTCTTCTTTTAACTTGCCCATTATTTCTTGGAATAATAGTAATTTTTGCTCAAGCTACCTTTTTGGTGCTTTTGTTGTAAATACCTCTGGTAGCGTAGTAGTTAAAGTATTCAGCTGCTAACAAAGGGCTAGTGGTTTGAACCCACTAGCCACTCTGTGGGAGGGAGAGGCAGTCGGCTTCCATGAAGACAGCCTTGGAGACCCTGGGGGCAGTTCCACTCTGTCCTCTAGGGGCGCTGTGAGTCAGAATGGACTCCAGGCAGTGGGTGTGGTTTGGGCTTTGCCTCTATGAAGACTGACA